GCATGCATTTTCTTGCTCGGCAAAAAATGCATGCCAAGGCTTAAAGCAGCAACAACGCTACACATAAAAACTGATGATGGTGGAAAAATACACCGAAACGTATTTTGATTGATAAATAGAGACAATAAATGACTGAAACCCAGGAATGAATTTGATTTGGAAGTAAAAAATTAAGTCAATGAGTTGCCTAAATAATTGAAAAATGTCTATCTTGAGCTGTAAATAAGTTTTTGTTGAAAAATGTATGATTTATTTCTTCGTTAAACTGTGAAATGAAATGTGCCAAACTAATACCTTCTAAGGGTTCGTTTACGGTCCTTGGCTAGGTATCATGTAAATAAGTAGATACATAATTTAGGAATATGCTTAAAGATACACTTAGGTAAGCTTTTCAGTGTTAATTAGTAGTAATTTAGATCAAACTAAATTAATACTCTCAAATCGGAACGGTTTTTACTTACAATCATTTTGAAACCCATTAAGAGAAACCCTTGTAATTAAACAGTGTAGTTTTTCACGAATTCAGGAAACTCATTAAAACACTAGACCATTGTGATAACAGGGTGCCCACGGAAACAATCCATTGAGGTCAAAAAATCAGCGAATTTATTAATTAAAAATAAACGAAAATTATACAGGTATCGGTTTTACATTGCAATAAAGAGAGCATGCACGAGCTGTTTTTCTACCCTATTAATTACTATTTTCCCATGATACAATGAATACAAGGTAGGATCTTGCGTCGATTTGCGTGACGTCAGTGGAAATCACTGCCGGGTGTGCTTTTTTCCTGTCTGCTAAATGTAATTGAATATAGCTTATTTAGCCAGTCACATTTAATTATTTTTTTATAAATCTTGCTTATAATTACAAGATGCTTTGCAGCCGATTTTAGACTTGAAAATTAAAAGTAACAAAAATGTATTTATTTTGTAGATTAGCACAGTTGCCAGTTGTGCAATAAAGTATAGCGTGAGCTGAAAATGCACAAATAGTACATTACGATTCAAGAGACGAAACCCAAAAAAAAACAGAAAAAAAACCTACAAACCCAAGAAAAGAAAAAAACAATTACTAACCCAAACAAACCCAACCATTCGCGTTTTCCACATTACAAAAAAGAAAAAACATTTGTATATCCGGAACAACACGTCACCAGACACGGTTGCTAGGCAGAGAAGGTTGTTGATTTCTTCGAAAGTGGAAAAGCACTGATTTTATGCGGAAAATATTCCTTGTGGGCAAAATAAATTATTGACAAATTGGTGCGAGTGAAATGTTGACTTTTGGCCGACATTTCTCTAAGGGTGCGGTTCAATTTTTTGAAAAAATGAAAATTTTCTCATTCAGCTCACGGCTGCGAGCAATGCATCAAACTCATTAAAAAGCATGGTTGAAGTTTCAGATCTGAAATAATAGACATTTTCGGCACATTTTAAGCAATTTTTGAGTATTCACAATCTTTAGCCGACGATTTCTTCCTCATTTTTGATACAAACACTTTATAAATGCATATTTCTGAACTTCTTACGTCGAAAGGAACCGTTTGAGCCGAAAGGAACCGTAAAAAGTCGATTTTTACAAAAAATTCAAGTTCCTCAAAATACCGCAAGTGATGCATCATTTTCATCGGAAAGAGACAAGGAATGCAGCAAGCTAATTAAAAGACACCGGGGCCTCTCCAGTTCCCAAATAATCAACATTTTCTGTCTATTTCGAGCGGTTTTTGAGCGGTCGCAATCTTCAACGGACCATATCTTCCTTATTTTCGACCCATAACATGTTCGCTATTGGCTAACTTCTTAGGTCGGAAACAATCCAATAAGGGCAAAAAACGCGATTGCAAAATTTTGAATTTTGGTCGAAAATTTCATTCAAGTCAAATTCAAGGGTCGATTTTTGAAAAAATGAAAATTCTCTCAAAATGTCGCAAATTTTACGTCATTTTCAGCTCACGGCCGCGAGCAATGCATCGAACTCACTAAAAAGCATGGTACAAGTTTCAGATCTGAAATAATATTAGTTTGCGATCACGGGGGAATATTTTGTGCTTTCTAGTCTCTACTTGTCTCTGACATAACTGGCATTTTTTATACTTGACGTCTCTGACTTGACAAGATTACATCTGCCAGCGGGCTTGCCAGGTCTACCGTTTTAACGGTAGATCTACTGTTTTCGGCGTAGGTTACGTCATTTTCAGTTCACGGAGGCGAGAAATGCATCGAACTCATTTAAAACCATGCTACAAGTTCCAGATCCGAAATAATAGACTTTTAATAATAATCTTCTTTCAGGCCTCTGACGTTACTCCATATATTCATTACAGTTTTCCTTCACGATCGCATAAATTAAATACCTTCAATACGTTCTTGAAAAAGCAGTCTATTTAGCACAAGGCCAGCCTCAAAGACCCAAATCGTCTACTTTTTCACTAATACTTAACACTTGCATGATGGAAAATATATAAAACGATTAATAGTTAGGCTCCTAATTGGTTCCAGAATAGCCCAGCTTCCACACAGGTACTAATTTGCAAATAAAACCCACACTTATTTCATTGACTAAAAAAATGCTTTACACCAATAAATCCTGTTATGTAATTGATGACCAGTACACATAACAGGACAGGTGCTGGCGTTTCTAACATAATGTGAAGTTTGCCCCGTTTGTCAGAGGCAAACCATTCTGTTAATATGCGTTTTTTGCACATTTTGATACTGTTGCTGGTTACGCTGCTAGTGCTAAACCTAATTCTCCAAACCCTGCTACTAATCTATGGAGCGAAATTCAATTTGAAGCAGCGTTGTTGTAGGGAATCCAATAGGTAAATTGTAATAACAAAAAAATGCAAAATTGAATTTCAAAGCGTGATTTCCAGTTGACCGAGGCACGAGTGGACCAATCATACCTGCACCTAATTTGAGAATGGAATAAGTTGAAAATGTAGCATTATCCTGTTTCTAACTGTACCCAATATACTCGATTTCAGTTGTAGAGTTGCGCGCATTAGAAATTGAGCAGCCTATAGACGTAGTAAAATAAAACAATAAAGAAGGTTGCCTTGAGTATTCTATCGACGGCCACGAATCTACAAAAGATAGATAAGAAGTAAGTAAATTCCCAGTTGCCGCATAAAGATCAAACCTACATTTTTAAATTGCGCTTCGCAGCGGGCATCATCTCGTCAGTTTCATGCAGGATGTGCCTTCTAGCATACATCATGCATCCTCTCAGGTATTCTGCTATATCGACGTTTTCAGCCTCCACCTGAAACATCCTGATTTAGGTCCATGGACTGCAGCAAATCACGATCGTACTTGATAAATCCGCTTCTCCACATCGTTCATCGTTTTCCGCAGGTTCATAAAATATCGCATGTCAAATTTCCACGCTCTGGTCGTGTAATACTCCAGCAAATCCTGCCCTTTGAGCAGTCGCTGGTTCACTGAAACCAATCTAAAGTTTCCATGATTTTAAGAGTTTTAAGTTGGGGAGAACAATGCCTTACACGGGTTTATAGCCCAGACAAATCAGCAGCAAATCGACGAAAACGGCCGGAATCAGTTGGAACAAAACAACATGAATGTAGTGGAAGATTTTGTTCTTCGTCATTATGCCCCCGGGACACCACAGCATCACATTAAACGGAATTTCATTGGACACGATATCTCTTCCTATGTCCAAAATTTGTTCCCAATTGACAGTGAGGTCCTCGCGTGGTACACATATGTTGAAAACCGGTTGTCGCCTGAAAATGCTTGATTGATTGATCTTCGCATTTTCTAGTATCTTTATGATTTGCTAAATGGGTTTGTGGAGCAAAAAGAGCTCAAGAAACCGTAGATAGTGAAGTAGGTCTAGTGGAGTTTGCAAGTTGCAGGTTGGTTGGAAAAGTTTCTTACTTGGTGGTTAAATAGTCCCATACAGCCAGTAGTATCACGTTGATGCAACTATCTGCAGGAATGACGTTGGCACTGGTTTTGCTGTCCATATAAACCGACCTGATGACTCCCTTGCCCGCTCCAACAAACAGTCCCATCGGACTTTGCAGGTTGTTGAAGTAGCCGGGTAAGGGCTCTTTGAAAGTGGGTATAACTGCAAAAACCGACAGAAAATTATATCGCTTTTTGCGGTTCGAGAATCTACCGTTTTTACATCTAATTTGAAATTTAGGAAAAATCTTTAAGGTGTGATCATCAAAAGTGGTAGATAATAACGTCTAATTTATTTGACTCCCGAAAATTCCAACTTCTGATTTTTCCAAAAGATTTTAAACTCGAGGAGATGTAAAACAAAAATTTCTAACTCCGAATCCACTTACATCAACAAACTGAAGTTTTAGCACGGCGAAGGACAATGTTTTATCAAAAAGCGAACCAAATTTCGTTAAAATCCCAACTTTAGCTGATTTTTCAGAAATTTTCAAACTTAACGATAAATTAAAAACAACCGTCCAACATACAGTGGCCAAACAAAAATTCGTAACTCCCTAACCACTTACAACAACAACCTGAATTTTTCGCACTACAAAAAAATGGTTCTGCTGAAAAGCGGACCAAATTTCACTAACATTCTCATTTCTGCTGATTTTTCAAACATTCTTAAACTTGACGAAAAATTAAGAAAAAAAATTGGTGTCCATCACGGGACGCTCGACAGAAGTGATAACTTCGTAAATTAATAGAAACCATAAAATATCGAACTTGTTTAACGCATGATGGCAATAATTATTTTATTTTATAATTTTAATATTCTTGTTAGTCTAATAATTTATAAATAGATCAGGAATAGGTAAAATTTAATTTAATTTCCTTTTGAATGTAAAATATATTTTTTATTTGCAACATTTAACATTCTTTAACGAGAGGTTGTACATATTACTCTTTTTGGGTTTGTGTAAACTCTTCCTCTTGAGTTTCTGTATTTTTCAGTCGGAATTTCTTATTTGCTTTGTATAATCCTTGACGTTCAGCACTAGTTCGTGGTTGATGAAAGCTACTTTGAGTTGATCTATTACTTAATGCTCCTTTTTTAGCACGAAGTCGTTTTTGGCATTCAGCATTACTTAATACTTTTCGCATTGTAGCATGTTTTTGTGACTGCTCTTGTGTATGTTGTTCATGAACGTTTGCTACAACTTGTATTTGAATAGGACTAAAAAATCAATTAATTTTGGTGATTGGAAGACGTTCTATCTGTTTAAAATAAACGGTAAAACGACGAAGAGCTATAGAGACATGATACACTTGACACACTATTTGTATACATAATGAAAGCCATCGCGCCTATGTTCAAAAAAAATATTCTACCTGAACTAATCCAAGGCTAAAAAAAATAAACTAAATTGAGAAGATTTAATCATAAAGGAATCAAAGGGTATATGAAAGGAAAAAATCTATTTTGATGCGTGGTAAACACAATTAATCTAGAAATAATATAGAGAATTGAAAATATGCCCTAATAAATTCGATTTACATATTTTGCAACTATAAGCTGAAGGGAGATTCGTATCGTCTTAACATCAAGAATGCATTGCGGGATAGAGAATAAGAAGGCGGAACCCATGTTTTTCTGAAATAACCGAGGTAAACTCAAATATTTTTTCAATTAAATTCAAAACGTATTTATTATATATTATTACAAAACAGTAATGATGTTTATTATTTTATGTTAAATATGAAATATTACAAAATAGATATCTAAATATTGATAATTTGTTGTTACAAAATAAAATAACAAATAATAGAACATATTATTGCATTAAAAGTTATTAGTAATAGTTGTGACACTTTATTTGCACTTAATCTTGAGCGTTTTTCATAAATTGACCCTGCCTTCTTTAGAAAATATCCGCTCAACATCTGGTTTAACAATTGTCTCCGATGAAAATCACTAAACAAGTAGGTAGTAATAATTTACCAGTTCGGAACTTTGAATCGTGCAATACAATGCAAATGGACATCATCAGGGCAGCATGTGGACTACAGACGGAGAGTAAGACATAGGGAATCGGTACCGGGATTCTATCGATACGATTTAATTTAATTTAATCTTTTCTTGATACGAATTTGCGTCCACAATCAATCAGGCGATTTAA